CTTCCAGGGGACCAGCACATCTCTGTACTCATGAAAACTGGCCTGGTAGGAGCCTCTTCAAAATTACCTCTTCCCATTCATCATTCAAGGTTCTTCAGTCTCTGTGTGTGTGTGTGTGTACAGGTCAGAGGACATGACTTTCAGGAATCGGTTCTTTCTCCACTCTTGGGTCCCAGGGATCAAACTCAGGTGCCTTGGTAGCAAGCCCCTTGATCCACTGAGCCACCTCACTGGCCTCCTTGCTTTTATAACATTTCTCTGAAACCTATGAGACGGCATATTCTACCTTTCTTAGAAAAGACATGAGTTTAGAGATATTAAGAAAGTTACACATAAGTGGTCATTCCTGTAATCCTAGCATTTGGGAATTTAGGCAAAAGGATAAGGATTTTTTTTCTTTTTTCTGAGACATGATACAGTCCTATCTGGCATAGAACTAGGCTGATCTTGAACTCACAGAGATCTGTTTGCCTCTGCCTCCCAAGTGCTGGGTTTTTAAAGGTGCTCACCACCAAACCCAGCTAGAACTGATAATTAAAGGTCATCCTCAACTACATAACAAGTTTGAGGCCATCCTGGGATACATGAGACCCTGTTTCAAATAACAAACAAACAAAAATAGCAACAAGATGCTGGGCATGGTGGTGCACACCTTTAATCTCAGCACTTGGGAGGCAGTGGAAGGCAGATCTCTTGAGTTCAAGACCAGCCTGGTCTACAAAGCAAGTTCCGGGACAGCCAGGGCTATAGAAACGCTCTCTAACAGAACCAGAGAAAATTGATGGAGCAGGATTCCAGCTGAGCTGTGACTCCCAACCACTGTGTTTCCTTTCTCCTACCAGCTGCTAGACCTGGTCCCACTGACATTCAGGAACGCCTCCCTGGGCCCAGTTTTTTACAGACCAGCAAAACCGACGGTCCACAACTACACACAAACCCTTTACTAACATCACTAAGGAACCTCATGGTTAGTCCGGGCAACTCTGTGAGGCGCTGTTTTGCAGTAATTAAAAAACGGGTATCGCCCAGTGGGGGAGTGCTTGTCTAGCATGTGTACAGCCCTAGGTTCAGTCTTCAGTACCCTATCAAAAACAAAAAGTCTTGGCCACTAAGGAGTTTCCAAATTTGAGTTTTATAGCTCGCACATAAGTAAATAACCTCATTCTTGGATTAAATATGGAACTTAGATGACCAGCTTCAATTTCATTCCACCCTGCCAATCATGCCAAGGCCTCCGTCCAAGTCCCAGAGCCCTGGGCCAATTCTAGCTTCTTTTTAGCAGTTAACCTTTGGCCTTTCAGCATTGCCCTGAAAAGAGGCCTTGAACTTTTACTGGCGAATCCATGCAAGATAAACTCATTTGGGGAGGAGGGAAGCAATCTGTGCAAGACAAGAATTAGTAGGAATGTTTTATGACAGAACTATCTGTACGCCGCAGACGAGGCCTCATCAAAGACTGGCAGGTCATCTCAGGAGGGTGTGCTTTCCTGTCTTACCCTTCTGATTTCAGTTTCTCAAATGCTGTGGGAGTTAGCAATAGGGCCCATCACAGGCTCTCCCGGGACAAATCCTGGCTAGGTACACTCTCCAAGCTGCCTCCTTGTGATTGCAATTTTCCTGAGAAATGATCATTCAGAGGAGGTGGGGGGAGCAGTAGAGGGGCAGTACTCTACTTCCACCAGGACCCCTGGCCGAAGGGCCAGAGCCAAATCGCCTTGTTTCTTAGGTTAGTCAGCTGCAAGCTCCGCCCTCAAGACCTATCAGTCAAAGGGAAGTCACGCCTTCTGTCCGGAAACACTATTGCCCCGATGCCGCACCTGTCACTCAAACGTTAGGCTCGGCCCCGCTCACTTCCGTTTTCCCTGGCAACGGGCTGGCTTTAGCGCCCCAGGCCACTTCCCTGTCAGAGCCGTGATCCGGCTTCCTCCCTTGCTCTTGATCCTGGAACGCTCAATCCGCCAAATCCCCTTCTTCCTCTCTAGTTTCGAAACCCTGAAGCCACACTGAGCCCGCCCTTTGACTTCCTGCCCGGAAATCCCGAGGTTTTCGAGGAATCACGCGAGGTCTCTCCGCGTCCCAAATCCTGGTCTTCCGCTGCCTGGGGTGGCTGTCGGCTCTTGATCTCCGTGGCCGCCTCCCCCGACCCTCTAAACCATCAGTCCAGGGACCGTTTCCCCAGGAAGAGTGGCAATTGACCCCGCAGAGAACAGGATAGCCGCCTTCCCGCCTACAGGATCCTTCGGTACCAGACAGGTATCCAGACACCTAGCTGCATCCCCTCTGTTAATCTCGCAACAACGTGCGACCTTCAGGCCTCATAGGTAGCCAAGGCTGACCTTGAGTTCCTGATCTTCCTGCCTCTACCTTCCAAATGCTGGAATTATAGGCATGTGACACCACGCAAACGAAATCCAGGGTATTTTGTGGATAAGTGAATGTGTAATCCAAAAGCATTCTTAAACCTTACCTGCATGTTGATTCTTAGGTATGGCCACGAACACCGTGGTTCTCAGTCTAGTTTACATCTCAGCAAAGCCTAAAACGATACACTCACAAGAGAAACCATGGGCCCCAGCCCCGGTGATTTCAGGATGGGGCAGCACCTCTTCAGCAAGCATGTCAGAATCTTGGGGGACAATGTTCTTTGAAAAGTCCTCTGGACAACATAAAGCTCATGCCTAGATAAGACAGCCAGTAAAAGGATGGATTCAGCGCTCCTTATGTTTGTCTAGAATCTGAGTGCAGGATAAGGTGGGGGTGCGCGTCATATAGGTAATCAAAGCCACAAGTGGTTCATCTGCTTCACTGCACAAGGCCATGCCTGTCTCTGTCAGTTCCCTCGGACTAACTACTGTCTTTCTCCCGCTGATTTTCTGGGGTTGGGCTCCAAGGCGCTTTCACTTGGAGCATCATGCTTGAAAGGAGACACTTTTACATTATTGTCCAGTTCCTAGAGTGGCCCCAGAGGAGGGCTGTGTGAATTTTGGTTTGGTAAGGGCTTGTTTTCATGGCTTGCTTTCCAGTGCACCAAGGTTCACTCAAACTGGAACTTGCTGTTGTGTAATTGTGGTATAAGAGAAATCCAATATTCCTGGAAACATTGCTTTCTGACTTATCCAAATCTGCTCTGTCCTGCCACACATGCATATACCTGCTACTGATTCTCTCCCTGGGATTCTGTTCACCCCTTTTATAAGCTTGTTTTTCTAAAAATGTTTTATTTTTATTAGTTGAAGATTTCGTTCAATGTGTTTTCATCCTATTCATTCCCTTCCCTACCCACCCTATTTAGTGTATCCATCATGTCCAGTTTGTGCCACCAATATATTCTTGGCTGGAGCATGTTTGACTTACCGACGTTAAAACTTAACTGACTCCCCATCTCCTAGCAGCCATATTTGCCAATATCGTCTTGGCTCGGGACAGGACTTTTTGCTCCTCTCTCTCTCCCCGTTGGGATTTGGTATTACTTGAGCTTGCACAGGACTTGCTGTCACAACTGTTGGGGTGTTTTGTTTTGTTTTGTTTTTGAGATAGAGTTTCTCTGTGTAGCCCTGGCTGTCCTGAAACTTGCTCTGTAGACCAGGCTGGCCTGGAACTCAGTGATCTGCCTGCTTCTGCCTCCCGAGTGCTGGGATTTACCATTGCTCTACCCTTCTTAAGTTTTTTTTTTTTTCTTCGAGACAGGGTTTCTCTGCGTAGCTTTGCGCCTTTCCTGGAGCTCACTTGGTAGCCCAGGCTGGCCTCGAACTCACAGAGATCCTCCTGGCTCTGCCTCCCGAGTGCTGGGATTAAAGGCGTGCGCCACCACCGCCCGGCTCCTTCTTAAGTTTTTAATTTAAAAAAAAATTAAAGATGTTGTAGCTGGAAGTTTTCCTGTGTCTTGCAGCTGCTCAGAGCCAAATAAACACACAGAGGTTTATATTAATTGCGAACTGTATGGCCATCACCTATGGCTCAAGCTTCTTGCTAGCTAGCTCTTACAACTAAACCCAGCCCATTTCTATTAATCTATATGTCACCACGTGTTCTGTGGCTTTACCTGTGTGCCATTTACATGCTGCTCCCTGGATGGCGGCCTGGCGTCTCCCCGCCTCTCCTTTCTCTTCCTATCTATCTGCCTGGATTTCCCGCCTGCCTCACAGCTTCCTTGCCATAGGCCAAACAGCTTTATTTATCAACCAATCAGAGCAATACATATTCACAGCATATGTGACATCCCATAGCAAGATGTATTTATGTGTGTATGTGTCTGTGTGAATCTATATACACTTGTGTGTATAAGTGTACACCTGGGTGTGTACACAGAGGACAGAAGAGGGTATGGGTTGTCGTACTCTGTCACTTTCCATCCATTCCTTTGAGCCCTGAACCCGGGCTCATTTGTTCTTGGCTGGGCTGGGGTTACAGGTATTTTGGGGGGATGCCCAGTTTGTTATGTGGGGTATGGGATCTAAACTTCTGTCTTTCTGATTGCAAGGCAATCATTCTTAGCTGCCGACTCAGCTCTCTAGCCCCTTGTTTTTAGTTAGCACACAGAGTAATGTTTCGTTATCTCCTTTCCATGCCTACTTTTTGCTGGCCTCCCACCTTGTCTCCGCTCTGCTCGGTATTGTCTTTCTGTTTACATGTTCTATTGCCCTCTTCCTTAAGACCTCATTTCCCTTTTCATCATCTCCTTCCTAATGACCTATACATGCACCCCCACATATATACACATAGATAGAAATGAAAATTTGGGAAATCTAGGATCTGATTATGAGAAATAGTATATGGTATTTGTCTTTCTGAGTCTGGGTTACTTTATTTAATATAGTAATTTCTTACATCCGTCTATTTTGCTGCAAATTTCATGACTTAATTTTTCTTTATGACTGAATAAAATTCAATTGTGTATATGCACCATATTTTTCTTCATTCATTCATGTATTGATGGATATTTAGGCTGGTTCCAGTCTCTTGAGATTGTGATCAGTACATCAGTAACCATGTATGTGCAAATATGTATGGTAGGACTTAAGAGTTCTTTGGCACAGGGGCTCAGTGTGAATCATAAGTTGAACCCTTCACCATGGGTGTGGGAGGGCTGGCTCCACCTCTCATCTGAGGTGGGTGGTCCCCGTGGACTGGTCAGACCAACTCAGCTACCACCCAGACACACATCCTGGGCTCTGCGCTGGCCCTCCCCAACATCTACTCCATCTATGACCTGCTTGAGTGTGTGAAGGGAGTGGTCCTGTGGAACCATAGCCACAGGATCTCCATGACTTGGGGCAATAGCAGGACATACAAGAGGCATTTCTGTGAGGGTCCAGTATTGATGGTGTGCCAGAGGCCAGAGGCCTTGAACCTGACCAACAGCTCATTTCAGTGAACATGGGCAAGTAACGCTGTTTGGAAAAAGGGTATGTTGCATGATACACAGCAGCTTCCAACGCCACCAAGATGAATGAAGAAGTGATGGAGAGGTGGGAAAGTCAGGGGAGTGAAGTGTTTTTTGTTTGTTTATCTTTTTTGTTTTTAATTAATATTCCTATTTATGTTTTTATTTTTATATTTTTATTATTTATTTTTAGTTTTCCTTTGGGGGACACTACAAGGGTGATGGGTGGATATGGAGGTACTAGGAAATAAATGGGATTGAGGTACATGATGTGAAATTCCCAAAGAATCAATAAAAATTATGTTTTAAAAACTTTGGATATATACTAGCAGTCGTATAACTTGGCTCTATGGTTGCTATATTTTCAGGGGTTTGTTGTTTTTTTGTTTTGGAATCTCCCCAAACTGATTTTCATAATAGCTGTACCAGTTTAAACTCCGCCAGCAGTGAATAATGGTCCCTTTTTTCGCCAGATTCTTCCAGCATTTGTCATTTTTTTTTTTTAGATTTTAGTGTGTGTGTGTGTGTGTGTGTGTGTGTGTGTGTGTGTGTGTG